AACCATAATAATTTTGTATTTGTTATAAAAGCATGGTAATATATGAATCATTGATAATATATTATTAATACATTAAATCAGCATACCTCTAACTGACATCTACTGTATTACTTGAATGTACATGTTTCATTAGAATGTTTTAATTTTGTGGTTTTCAAATTATTTTAAAATTTATTTATTTATTTATTTCTTCTATAAGCAAGAAAGACATTAAGAGAAAGAAAGAGAGAGAGAGTACTCCCAACAAGGACTTGACACTGCAACTCACCCCTCAGCTTCCGCCAGCCCCAGACTATGGGCACACATGTGCCCAGAACACTCAAGGAGCTCTGTGGATGTGAACCTGGAACTTTCCCATGTGTGTCAGCTTACATTTTATCACTGTGCCACCAGCGAGCCCCAGAACCATATGCTTTAATTTCATAATCATTTTTAAAAACCTCTTACATGTTATTTTTTTAAAAAACTTGCCTTTGAAATGATAATCCTCAACGGAAGGAAATGTTTATATAATAAGACTTTCTTTTTTTTAAGAATTATTTTATTTGGGGACCAGCAGGCGGCATGGTGGCCGACTGCGGTTCGAATACTGGACCTGGTGGCTTGCTTTCTCACTTTCCCCCTCTCTCTATGTGTGTATCTCTCTCTGGTCAAATTAAAATAAATGAATGAATAAATAAAATTAAATAAATAATTATTTTTTTAAATAATTATTTTATTTATTTATTTAAATTTGACCAGAGAGGGACAAAATGAGAGAGAGAGTGAGAAAACAAGCTGCCAGGTCCAGGATTCAAACCATGGTCAGCCATGTGAGAGTCCAGCGTCCTTAACCACCACACCACCTGCCGACCCCTCATTTCTTTTTTTAAGAATAATGTAATTGGGACCAGCAGTTAGCATAATGGCTATGTCGCTGGACTCCCACGTAGTCGACCGCAGTTCGCGTCCCGGACCGGGTGGCTTAAAACTCACGCTGGACACATGTGCGTGTGTGCCCAAGATCCCAAGAGGAGAAAGGAGGAGAAGGGACTGCAGCGTGACCATCCCCCCTGGGGGCTGATTTCTTGCTTTCTATCTCTCTGTCTCTGTCTGCCTGGTGAGCGCACACGCCTTATAGTGAAAACCTCTCCAAAAAAAAGAATAATGTAATTTATGGGGCCAGCAGGTGATATAGTGGTTAAGGCACTGGATTCCCACATGGCCAAAGGTGGTTCAAGTCCCAGACCTTGTGGCTTTCTCATTCTTCCTTTCTGTCAAAATTTAAGAATAACAATAAATAAAATTATTTTTAAAAAAGAATAATGTAATTTACTAATTAACTTTATTTACATACTCACTTTTGCATAAAACTTTCATTTTCTAAGCTAATTTTTTTCAATGTTTGAAGAAACAGTACCACAAATAATTCTGAAACTAATATATTAGTAACAAATTATGTGACAAACTTACATCTGTACACAAGGATAGAAAAAGAATCTATTTGTTATCAGGAAAGTGGATACTGTCATGTGTTTTTGTTGATGGGAATCCTAAACTGCTCTAGTACCATGGTAATGGCATTTAAATGTTCCTACATAGCATCAAATCAGTAAAGAAAGTAGAAAAATATGGAAGATTTACTGCTGAGTGAGGCAAGCCAGGCTATGAAGGAGAGACATTGTATGTCCCCACTTAACATATACCGAATGTCTGCACTCTATGACTGAAACTGGTTGACTAACAGTTGTACAAACACAAGAGATGGGTGTGACTGTCAGATGAGGTGTATGTGGAGGAGTGGGGCCTAACAAAGGATATTTGGAGAAGGGATACGGAGGTAGAACATTGACAGGATGGGGAAGTGTGGTGTTATTGGTTGAAGATATTTTGATCAATGGGACTGGAAAGAAATGTTCACATATTGAAATGCTCACATTGTAAGCTAAACAATGCGATTGAATATATATACAAAAAGAAATAAATTAAATTTAAAAAATTCAAAAAAAAAATGTGGGAGGGAAAAAAGGCATGGAAAACAACTGTAGATACCAGAGACAGTGTGGGAGGAGGGTACAAAATGGCACAGGGTGAGAGGTAGGAAATAAAGGGGGGGGGGTAATATAAGAAACAAGAAATGGAAAATTATTTGTTGACAATAACATGTATGATCATATCCTTGATTGAGCCAATATACAGAGTATTCTGGATAGAAAATCTTATTTTATACAGCAAATGAGATAAATAAAATTAATTAGAAAAAAAAATCACAGTTCACGGTTAGTGGCAGAAGTTAGTATCACTAGAGCAATTAAATGAATGTAATGATGTTCCTGTGACTCAAGTAATTAAGTGATATTTAAAGTGAAAATATGGGACTGGATTCACAGCTGGTTTTCAGGTTCCTTGTTGTAAGTAACCAAGTTACCCTTGGGAATGTACACATCAGCACCTCACAAATCTTCCGGGAGCAAAGTTTGACTTTTCCCTAGGCCTGTAATAGTACCAGACACACAGGAACACACAGTAAACATTTCTGAAATGATGAGAAGCTTTTTCTCTCTCTTTCATTGCCAAAGAATGTGTTCACTTACCAGAAAGAAAGCACCCCAATTAGGTACAGTCATAACACAACATCTTTTCCTTCACTTCTCCATCCCATTAGAATCCTGAGCACTCAGAAACATGTGCCCAGCATGGTTTTCAAGTCACCAGGGCCAGATTCAAACTACAGTCAACTCCATGGGATCTGGCTCACAGAGCACAGTGTTTAATCACTGTACTACAGGGCTGGCTCCACCTTTCTTATTTTTTCTACACTTCTTTTCCATAAAACATTACTTTCTTATTTTTTTCAGTCTTGTATTTCTGTAAGCTACTTTAAATCATTCCTGAATAATATTGGGCATTAGAAAATCAACCCTCCTGGGACCAGCAAATAGCATAATGGTCACTTTGCTGGATTTCCACATGGCTAACCGCGGTTCAAGTCCTAGACCCAGAAACTTGAAACTCACACTGGGCATATGTGCATATGTGCTTAAAATTCTGACAGGAGAATGGAGGAGAAGGGATTGCAGTGTGGTCATCCCCCCAGGGGGTCATTTCTCACTTTCTGTCTCACTGTCTCTCCAGAGAGCACATTTGTCCTATAACAAACATTTCTCAAAAAGAAAAGAAAAAGAAAATTAACACTCCTTTCAAGAATTGAACAGAAGAGAATTTCTGTGAGTAGCATATTTTTGGCCCTGGCAAAGAGGTCTCTATCACCTCCTTGTCAGATCACCACACTAACCCACAGTTAATCTTGGTTGTTATAATTCATGTTCCGTTGATGAACCATCTCAGATTTTTTCAGTACTGAGTTCTCTGGTTAAATAGCAGGGACAATGCAATTGAATTTCTTGAGAAAATGCTATACCTCTCAAAGAAATTTCCCAGTGTAGTTGAACATGAAGTAGAGTCATTGCCCTTGGTTGCTTAGCTTTCTTAAAGAGCCCTGAAGTAGGCTTCCTTTCAAGCCCAGAGTTCTTGCATCTGGAAGAGGAAGCCACACTGGTCATGGAAAGAGAGTATCCAAACCTCCTTCCTTCCCTGCTGGGAATACTTTTCTAGTTCCCCTTCTGTTCAGAGATTAAGAAACAGGAAGCCCTGACTTCTCATCTCATATTATTTCCTCCCTCACCAACCCACTTGCTTACCAGATCACTAAGTGCCCTCAACACTTTTACTTCTAAAAATAATAAAATCAATTTCCTATTTGAGAAGAAATACAGATTCTTTATTCATATATATATATTTTTTTAGAGATATTTGCTATAGGGTGCATGTGCCCACCGGAGAGACAGAGAGAGAAATCACCACCACCACCCCCGGGGTGGATGTCCACGCCACAATCCCTTCTCCTCCATTCTCCTCTCAGGATTTTGGGCACACACACACAAGTGCCTGGCATGAGTTTTAAGACACTGGGTCCAGGACCCGAACTGCAGTTGACTATGTGGGAGTCCAGCAAGGTAACCATTATGCCATCTGCTGGTCCTGAGAAGGAATACAGATTCTAACATTGGGAAGAGAAGCATAAAAGATTTGACCTTGGGGCCAGGTGGTGGCATAGTGGTAATGAAACAGGACCTGGGTTCGCCTCCTGAGACCTCCCTGAGAAAACTGTACATGCATTTGCCTGTAATCCAAGGCAGCTAAGGATTGTGAAGTGAAGACCCGGTTGGAGGTGCCAGTCTGTCTCTGTCTTTCTCACATGGAAGAAATAAATGGATGAAATAGCAATACAAAATCCAATCTCTCACTCAGTGAGAAGGTGGTCCTTCCTGAGACACCACTTTCTAGCTCCTACTTAAAAGTCAGCATTTTGCCACATTACACAAGGCATTTCTGGAAGTTACAAAGCAAAGAACATTTTTTTAGAATCCTGATGTCAGGACTAGAGATAGTAAGGATCTAGACAGAGTGCCAATTTTTAATTTTGTTAAATAAGGGCACTTTAAAAATAAACAATTGAAAGGGGAGGGGAAGAATCTATTAGGTCGTTGCGAAAGTAATGATGTATTTCTTTTTTTTAATGTAAAAAATGTGTCATGACTTTCCCAATGACCCAATATAATGTGCAATGACAGTAATTTCATAAAAAAAAAAACCTTCTAACAACAAAATGTTGAAAGGCTGTAATGTCAGAATAAAAGGCAAGCATTAAACTGGATAAATTTTGCTTTCTTTTTAAAAATCTTCCCATTGGGAACCAGCAGTTAGCGTAATGGCTATGTCGCGGGACTCCCACATAGTCGACCGCGGTTCGCGTCCCAGACCCGGTGGCTTAAAACTCACGCCGGGCACGTGTGCGTGCGTGCCCAAGATCCCGAGAGGAGAATGGAGGAGAAGGGATTGTGGCGTGACCATCCCCCATGGAGGTGATTTCTCGCTTTCTGTCTCTATGTCTCTCTCTGTCTGGCGAGCACACCCGCCCTATAGTGAAAATCTCTCAAAAAAAAAAAAAAAGCCCTTACCATCTTGCCCTTATTTCTGTCATTCCATGAAGGCAGGTGAACACTTTTTGAAGACAGTTGCCATGCTGGAGTTTGACGATAGCCCACTATAGAGCAGGAAATATTTTCTTCCAAGGTTTCATGACCCTGAGCAGTTCACTGGTCCTCCAACTCCAGTCCATTGACTACTGCCTGTGAACAAGCCAATTCAAGTAAACCATTGTGCAGACCTAACTACACTCTTGACATACAGTTAATATTATATAAGCCAAAGATGTGATCAACCAAAAGTCCTGAGCAAATATATAGCAATTGACTATTATAGCATTAGTAAATTTCTCTCCAAGTTCTGTGAAGTGCAGACAGAGCAAGTAAGAGTTCCAAATGTATTACAAAGTATTTTTGTGATGTATTAAAATTAAAATGTATTATATCTTTTTTTAATTACCAGAGTGCACATGTGCTCACCAGAGAGAGTTGAAGAGACAGAGAGAAGGAGAAGGAGAAGGAGAAAGCACCCCTAATGAGAAGTGATCACACTGCAATACCTTCCTCTCCATTTCTCCATCTTGTTAAGATCTGGGGGGCATGTGCAGTGTTTTCCAAGTCCCTGAGGTCAGGATTCCAATCATCGTTAGCCATGTGGGATCCAGCTCCCTTAACCACTAGGCTATGAGGCCAGCCCTGTACTTTCAGTACATCTGGATCTAAAATGTTCAGTATAGCAAACACTACACTACTCAAGGGTTAGTAGGGCAATACAGTGAAAACAGCTAGCAGGATGGAGGCCCAGCCTTACCCCTGATTTTGCCACTAAGTGATTCAATAGCCTTAGGCACATTGTTAAATCTTTCTGTGCTGTTTTCTCAGATGAGGGAATTAGATTAAAATTATCTCTTGGGGCCCATTCAGCATGAATATTCTTAATGTAATATGTAACAGTGTATTCTCACTCTCAGAATTTGTAAGGCCTTAGGGAATAAAAGAAGTATCTAAATCTTCTAAAAAACTGACCTCTAGTTACCCCGAAAGACAACTATCCTCCTATGGGATCTTCAAAAACCGGCTGTGCTCAAACAAAGAGCTAAAGGCACAATCTGATTAGTTTATAAATTAACACAAGTGGGTTTGAGCATCCACTGTGGGCAAACTGAAGGAGAGTAAAAGTTCCCCAGGTCCCTCCATCTCCCTGGCTGCCCTTTCCCTAGAGTGAGCACAAGGACTTGACATCAGCTCTATACTAATAGAACTCTGACTCTGCAGCAGGCTTGTTACGTACATGGTTGATTTTAAACTTAGAACCACCCTGCAAGGTGGGAAGTATTATCTCCATAAAATGAATAGGAACATTGAGGCTCAAGAAAGTTAGGTACAGTCCAAGCTCACAACATAAGAAATAAGATTCACGCTAACACTATTGCTGGACAAGGAGTCCTATGCCCCAGTTCAGAGACCCTTTGCTACTCAACAAAACAGAGGGGGGAAATTGTTGGGTAAAGCAGCAGCCAGAAGATAGTGTAATGGCTATGTTGCTGGATTCTCACATAGTCAACCATGGTTCGAGTCCTGGACACAGCAGCTTAAAACTCACACCAGGAACATGTGCATGTATACCCAAAATCCTGAGAGGGGAATGGAGAAGGGATTGCGCTGTGGCCATCCCCCCTGAAGGTTGATTTTGTGCTTTCTGTCTCTCTGTCTCTCTGGTGAGCAGAGAGCCCTAATAGCAAAAAATTTCTCTCTCAAAAACAAACAAGAAAAGGAATGGAGAAGTTATTATAGTGTGGTCATACCAGGAGGATATGTAAAATATCTTCAACTGGTTAGCCACTTTACAGATGCTTTTACAGAGGAAGGAAGAGACTGGGGGCTCACGGCAATGTACAGAAAAGCACAGGTCAGGTTAATTTTTAGCCAGGGATACAATATGTCTCCAAAACAGAAGTTTCAGTTCTTAAGAATGGAACAATTTCCATTGTTTTGAGCTTCAGGTTGACTGCCTCTGACGTCTGTCTCCCTGGAGTTCCTAAGAGATTTCAAACAGAGTATCAGGCTGACGAAAAGGAAAAAAAAACAAGGTGATTAACAAGATAGAGTCAGTCTGGCTAAAGCAGGCCCCTATTACAAGGCCTCTCAGGCTCTAAAGTCTGTACTCTTTGCATTATGTCTGCGGTATTACATTCATCACATCTTTATACCCCCAAGAGACTGGATCAAAAACCCCAAGGCTCCTCAGACTGATGATACCTGCACCCACCAGTGGAATCTCCCTTTAGACTATGACCTTGGAAGACCAACTGCTATCTATTCTCTAATAGCTCTCCTTCCCAGTCCAGTGAGGTAATGAAGAGTGCCCATTAGACTTTCTATAATGTGAAGACTTGCAAATAAGCTCTATGCAGGCTAGCAAGCTTGAAGTGCATAGGACAGTCACAGAACCTAGCATTTCCAACTTAAATTAGTGTAATATTCAGTTCCAACCTGCTTCACTCAGATTAGCTGCTAAACTCTTCTGCTCAAGGTGTGGTCCTTGGATCGGCAGCATCAAGGTATCACTTGGGAAGCTATCAGAAGGAACCTCAGGCCCATACCAGACTCACTGAATCAGAAATTATGTTAGCCAGATGCTTCTAGTGACACATTAATATATTAAAAGCACTGTTTTAGAATTACCTACAGAGCTTTCTTCCTCAGAAACAAGAGACTAAAATTCCAGAGAAAGGAGTGAAGAGTGAAGCGAGGCCCCAAAATATGTGTGTGTGTGTGTGTGTGTGTGTGTGTGTGTTTTAACTAATCTTCTTTTGGTCTCCCGTCCTCCAGAAAAATCAAGTCCTTTCTGACTAGAATCAAAGAACAACTTTGTTTTGTCAACAGCTGTCCCTGTAGCCAATAGAAACTCCCTCCTCCCTAGAAGGCCATGCCATTACTCTATACATGCAATAAATAAGTGGAACAATTTTGCCTAAAACAGTTTCCCTTTGAGTTGTTCCCCAACCCATCAATCTTCTATCCCCCAACTCATAGGGAAGTTTAGACTATTGTTCCCATAACAGCAGGACTCCTATATTTATTTTCTCCTGAAAAATAAACCTAGTACAAGTTTAAGAAGGAAGGAGAAGAGAAAAGAAGAGAAGATGGAAAGAAAGGAAGGGAGGGAAGGAGAGAGAGAAAAAGAAGGAGGGAGGAAGAGAAACGAATTAACATGTGTTAAAAATGTACTACATGTCAGGCACACTCCATCCCCCCAACAGTTCACGTAAAAATATGTAAGATTTGTGTTAATGCCCCAGTTTTCAAAGCCAGAGATTCTGACTCAAAGCCAAGATTCTCAACAGGATCTAGTCTGGTCCCATTCTTTCTACTACCCCAACTTGCCTACACAGCATATCATGTCAATACAAATTTTTATTGAGATGTAATTCACATATCACAAAATTCAATTCAGTGGGTTTTTTTAGTATATTCACAAATTGTAAAATCATCACCACTATCTATTTTCTAAACATTTCCATCACCCCTAAAAAAAGGCTTCCCTCCTGCCCCCTAGTCCTTGACAACTACTTTCTGTCTCTATAGATTTGCCTATTCTGGATATTTCATATAAATGCAATCATATAATAGTGTGATCTTTTATGTCTGGTTTCTTTCATTGAGCATAACATTGTCAGGGCTCATCTATGTCATTTCATGTATCAGTACTTCATTTCTTTTTTAAAATTTTATTATCATTATCTTTTTTTTTTTTTTTTGCGAGATTTTTGTTACAGGGCATGTGCGCTTGCCAGCAAGACAGAGCAAGAGAGACAGAAACTGAGAAATCACCCTCCAGTAGCCATGGCCATGCTTCAATCCATTCTCTTCTCATAATTTTGGGCACACACAATACACGTACCTGGCATGAGTTTTAAGCTGCCAGGTCCAGGACTTGAACCACAGTCGACTATGTGAGAGTCCAGAGACATAACCATTACACCATCTGCTGGTACTTCATTATCACTTTTTAACTTGCATTGGGTACATGTGCTCACTAGGGAGAGACAGAGATAGAGAGAGAAAGGGAAAGAACGCAAGTTACCAGGTTCAGCACTCGAAACATGGTTGGCCACATGGGAGCCCAGCCCCTTAATCTCATGCCACTTACTGGCCCTTCATTTTTTTTTTAAGGGTGAACAATAGCCCACAATATGGACATACTGTATTTTGTTTATCCATTCATGAGTTGATGGACATTTGGGTTGTTTTCACTTTTTGGCTATTCTTAATAATGTTTCTATAAACATTTATGTCCAAGTTTTTATGTGGGCAAATGTTTTTAATTCCCCCAAGTGTACACTTAGAAATGGAGTTCTGGGACCAGCAGTTAGCATAGTGGCTATGTCGCTGGACTCCCACGTAGTCGACCGCGGTTCGAGTCCTGGACCCGGTGGCTTAGACTCACACCGGGCACATGTGCGTGCATGCCCAAGATCCCGAGAGGAGAATGGAGGAGAAGGGAGTGCGGCGTGGCCACCCCCCCTGGCGGGTGATGTCTCGCTTTCTGTCTCTATGTCTCTCTCTGTCTGGAGAGCACACCCACCCTATAGCGAAAACCTCTCAAAAAAAATAAAATAAAAATGGAGTTCTTGGGCCAGTAGGTGCTATGGTGGTTAAGGTGTTGGACTCCTACATGGCCAACCATGGTTCAAGTACTGGACCTTGTGGATTCTTTCTCATTTATGTCCTCCCTCCCCCATGTCATGAGTGCATATGCCCTATAGCAAATTAAATAATAATAATAAAATTAAATAAATAATTCTTCTTTTTAAAAAATAGAGCTCGGGACCAGCAGTTAGCGTAATGGCTATGTCGCTGGACTCCCATGTAATCGACCGCGGTTCGCGTCCCGGACCTGGTGGCTTAGACTCACAACAGGCACGTGTGCGTGTGTGCCCAAGATCCCAAGAGGAGAATGGAGGAGAAGGGATTGCGGCGTGGCCACCCCCCCTGGGGGGTGATTTCTCGCTTTCTGTCTCTCTGTCTCTGTCTGTCTGTCTGGTGAGCACATGCACCCTATAGCAAAAACCTCTAAAAAAAAAAAAGGAGCTCTTGAGTCATATAGTAGTGACTCTGTTTAATGTTTTGAAGCAATATGTTATTCTCCCAAATGGCTGCATCATTTTACATTGCCACCAACAATGTTCCAATTTCTCCATAT